CTGACGCAACCGTATATATATATATTTATTATTCAAATTATCATCACGCGTCGAGGTGATTTCGTTGTCCTTGAGATTTCTCGAACGACGACCGGATAATAATGAAAGTGTTGTCTCCTCGCTACGTTTGTAAATACATACATTGCTCGAGCTTTTGTCACGCATATGAACATTCCAAACGAGCTATTCATATTGGGATTCGGCGAAATTTCTATTTCCACAAGCGTTGTACCGAGAATAATTCCTTGATGTAAACATTACGCAAAAACGGTTTTGTTTTGGCTGAGCAAAGCGGAAAAGCAGCAAAGTCAGTGTTATTCGCGCGCTCGGTAAAATGAAACGTTGATATTGTCGCTCCGAACTAATTGACTTTAGGTCATAATTTCTTAATACTTTAGATTATGAATGCCGTTGTTTTCTCCATTTCATTTTCTTCATTTCTGCGTGCTTTTATCTCTAAGGTAAATAAATAATATAATTTTAATTATTAATTAAATTATATTATCTTAATTATTAATCAAGCGAAAAAATAACTTAGAAATATATTCTTCCTATATGATTTTTTGCTAATGAGCTAATGAGATTTTAGAAATTGCAAAAAGTTTTGCAAACAGTTTTATACCAGTTGTAACATTCAAATTTGTTTGAACGTTGTACTACATATATTTGAACAAGAGAAATCTGAGACGTCTGACATATCTTTGCATTTTATAAGCTTATATGTTTATTTTTTATCGGAAGCGAAAGCTATTCGCAAAATATTTTCTATTGTTGCATCATTTGGTCATATAAGTTAACAAATTCAGATTTGTCATGTAAATTTTCATAAGACAAACAGAAAAATTTCGAGAGAAAACATTTATCTAATTGTGATTTTTAGAATAAAAGTTGGATAATTTTAATCGCCTTCTATTTAAAAAAAAAGGAATGATTTATCACTTTATAATCTCACGTTATTTTTACGAACCTTTCAACGATTTTCGAGACATATTTATACAGATATCATATGTATAAATTGCGCGGCTATTAATAAAATTAAAAAAAGTATTTCAATTTGGAAAGGAAAAAATAGCAAATGCACGATATTTTTCTTTGATGCTTATTATTGTTCGAGAAAAGTTTGAAATAAAAAATTGTTTTATCAAAAAATTTATATCTAGAAGGATATTTTTTCCTAATATATATACAAAGTTTGGATTCTACAGTATATTTTAATAAAAAAAAAAAACATTACGTTGATATTACATTTATCATATGACGAATTTTTTAAATCTTGATTACCTACAAAATAGAAAGTATCTAGAAGCTCAAGGAATTTCTATCCTGCAGCCAACCAATATCCTTAAAAAATCTGTCGTACGACAAATGTAATATCGGCCGTATACCTTCCAAGAATATATCCGCTTCCACGAGTGCGGATCTCCTGGAAGTGCTTCGTCTCGTTTCTTTCTGCTTTGCCAGCTTTATACCACTCGTGCTGCTGAGTTGCATTATGTCGTGCGAGTAATGTATGTCGTCGTCGTGCAATTCTCTCGTGAAGAACAAGCACACTCGATTCAACGGTATCAACGGAATCTACCTTTTCTCGAAATGAAAGAAAAGAAACTCTATACATTGATATTTTATAAGACGTGTATTCTTTGAAATTTAATACTTAAAAAATATTAATAGTGCCTTCTTTAATATTAATGTAATCCGTTAATTTTGTCTCGAGTTTTTGATTGAAATTATTTGACGATATTTAGGATTTTTAATTATAATTTCCTTCAAGGAATACCTTCATAAGGATTGATTCGCCGTTTATTAAACGTCATATATTTTACTCGATAATATACTTTCACGCGCGTAATGATAAGAGCTCTGTTTGTGAACTTGATCTTTTAGAATTGTCGTAAATTTAAAGGTCGACTATAAAACTATTAAAGGCATTATATTTTTCTAACAAGACCGAGAGAAAATACAATTACCGTCCGCTAAAATCGGACATCAAGGCGATCCGACTCAATTAAATAGCGTCAAAGTTAACGAGGCTATTTACATCCTCGCGACCTCGAAAAAAATCTCGCAGTGCTAGATAACGAAGTTAAGTTACTTCACGAGCAAGCGAAAAGCAATAACGCGATCGCGCGTAATTGCGTTTCGGCGCCATGATGTCAAACATGATGCAGTCAGCGAAAAACGAGAGATAAGCCTATACATTTACACAACTGCAGTGATATGCGTTTTTAAACGCATTTCAGCAATCGATGTCGTAAATGTCGAAGTGCAAACGCAGAGCGAGCCGCGCATGTTGCGTTGTTGACACGTCGTTGATAATCGAGAAATGACTAAACGAAAATTTTTTTTTTAATTGAAACTTTTACTATTTTTTTTATTTCGTGTAAATCATACGAAAAGATTGATAATTATTTTTATTTAAAAAAAATAATAGATGAGTCGATATTTTTCAAGCTCTTGTACATCTATTCAGTAATTATCCTTCTATATTTTTAGAATAAGTTTGTGAGACCATCTCTCAAAAGTAAACTTTTAAATATTGCATTCTTTCTAAGTTACTTGGTAGACAATATGAGTAGAGATCCAACAACAATGTACAGAATTGTAGGTCTCTTCCGACAGTGAAAGAACACATTCATATAAATCATGCTAATAACTGTCGTGTAAAATAATACCTTTTATGGCCCTAAAGAAATGAGAATCTAGTTATCAAAGCTCTGTATAATCTACTCTTGAGAGATTCCAGTATTATAAATAACATGTGTGATAAAAAATATTTATTACGTGTCATTACAATGTATGTAAGTATGTGTAAAAATATTATTTTTATATATTTTTGATAGCTGCATTTTATTTTGCATTATCATTCTTCGAAAATATGACATTTGAAAATATATAACATAAACTTATAGAATCATCGATAGAAATAGATCCATATAGTAAGAATTTATATGTAAAACTATTAAAGAGATGGAAAAGAAATTATTAAAAAAATTCTTTTCTTGTATCGTTGTTGAAAGAATAAAAGTCATATTTTAAAGTGATTTACGTATGATCGATTAATCGTTGATCGAAGAAGCAAAAGATCTGTCTGGTGACAGGATCTCATGATTCGAATACTTTTACACTTTACTTTTCTATTCTTCTAATTGATTGACGCTTCATTTAACAGCCAACAGATGAATGAGAAAGAGAATGAATGATAACCTTCAAGGTCTTGAAGGTGAAAAAAAAGAGAGAAACTTGGAAAGGAAGCTTGGAAAAAAAGAGAGAAATTCAAAAATAGAACAAAGATCCAGAGAAAGATCAAGGACGTCGCCTCTTTCATTAACGTCAACGAACTTTGAATATTTTTATTCATTTGTGAACGTATACATATCGTTAACTTTGAGCCTGTAAAACCTTACAATAACTTTATAAATCGTCGTAACTGTATAAATTTCTGTAAATTGTAAATCTGTGTAAAGTTGTTCCAATTTTTATAGATGAATTAAAAATATCGCGATTGCTTCATTTCCATTTTTTATTTTTAAGAAGAAAGGATACTTGCATATGTGTACGGATCTTTTAGGACAGTATGGTCAGAGTACGGGAGTGAAGAGAGAACAACGAGCCAAAACGAGAGAGGAGGAGACGAGGAAAAGATACGTGCGGATGTATTTATCGCGCTCGCGGATCCCGCGCGTGCATTGTAAGATCCGCCGACTGAGCGTGCAGATAAACACGCGCACGTAACAGTATAAATAACTTGCGCAAGCGTTAATGAATACTTATCTCTCTCTTTCTCTTTCTCTCTCCGCTTCCCCTCTCCTCTCCCTTAAAAAGTCGCGAGATAGATAATACCAGGCATTGCGTTTTATTATCTTGGTCGTTGCGCACGCGTGCTGACTCGCGCCGTATTTACGCGAGATGAGCGAATTTCTTCGTTTACGAAGCGAGGAACTAGCATACCCTAGGGCGAATCTTTTTTTCTGAACCCGTGGAAATAAGAAGCGTTGGGTGAAATAATTTGTAGAACGATTCGAAAATAAATGAAAAGATCGAGATGTGCCGCTTCCCGTATATATGATTATCTTGACGCGAAATCATATATTTTCTCTCTGGAACTTGTGGATTTATAGAAATTGATTTTATTATATTTCTCTCTCAAAGAAATTAGAAAGAGATTTGATTTATATTATTATAAGATTGCAAATATCTCGTTGAAACATCGCAGACGGAACGATAGCGAGAACAGCTGACGGCGCACGTTACCTTTAGAGGAAATGGAGAGAGAATGTAACCACTGCATTTCTCTTTTTCCCCTCGCGTTACGCTATTTGGAATTTCCGCCGAGCTGAGCAAATGTAGCCGAGGTCGTAGGGCGGAGATAAATCGATAAGGGACGCGAATGCGAAGGAGTATGAGAACGGTCGAGTTCTTCTTTGCGATCGTATAAATTACGCGCGTATAAATTATATCTATATCGTTTAAGCATCGTTGTCGTATAACAACCAGCAGTATATAAGGACAATCACGCTTCATGGTCAAAGACCATAGCGTGAGATGGCATTATTTTTTATCGCTACTTGGAAGATTATATTTCAGTTAGAATATTAGTTATTGAATCAGTTATTAGAATTTCGATATTTGGCATAATTTGCATTATGATTGACAATCCAAATAAAATTTATATTTGAAATTTATTTTGATTTTTTACGAGTTGCATCGATAAGAAATATAATAATAAAAACAATAATACACAACTATTATATTTTGATTAACTTTCAACTTTGCTTGATGGAGATTACGAGCCATTAGAGCTAATTAGCTAAAACTATGCATGTGTGCGCTTTGAGATTTAAGAATGGGAAATTGTTCATCGACGATGCGCTCGTAAAGTGCCTACAAATCCGTTCTTAATTGCCAATAACCTCGTAAACCTGTGGGCTAATTTATACGCACCGATTCGCATAATCGCGTGATAATGACGAGACTGAGTTTTCGTTGCTCGTTTGTTACAGAGAACGCCGCGAAGCGGAAGTGCGCGAGTTGGAGAAGGCCAAGATGGAACGGGAGAGGCTTGAGAAACAGAGGGCTGAACAGGCGGTTCATAAGCACTTCGAGGAATCCTTCAGGTTGGCACAACAAAAGGTTAGTCACGCTTTACTATTCGTTATCGGTTGATAATAATGTTTTCTTTCGAATCATTATGGAGACACTTATAACGCCAGACTTATCTGCTATGGAAATTTAAAATCCTCCTAAATTAGTGAATTTAATTATTATTAAGTTAATGATATTAAAAATAATGCGTAAATTTATGGTTTACCTATTCACAAAAGAATGACATGGAAATGTCCTTCATCAATTTCGACGAATTTCAAATAATTTTCATAAATCGAAACTGGGAATAAAATACCCGTACTTATTTTATAAACGTTTTCTCATGGATTTAATGATCGAAACAGCTTCTTGAAATCAATTAATATTTAGAATATTAGTATTTTAATTAATATCACGATGGAAAACGCCTACAATTTTGTCTGTTTCGATATTTATGCCTGAGAGATGAGAAGCTCCTGTTTTTTAATTCGTGCAAAGTTTTGATTGCTGACGTGCATTCAAGATGCTTACTAATTATTGCTTCCATCCATTGTCTTTTATTTTTGAGATCAGCAGTATCCTATTTGTCTAATAAAGTTAATATAACGAGGAAACTCGAGTTTTCCTAAAAAAAAATGCGCTCTTTGTTTCACAACGAGATCGTTATTTTGCCATTCCTATTCAGAGGTAGGCAAGGAAATGAGAGAGATTATGCGACCCGTTATACATTACATAATTTGCTGAGTTCGATTTTGCAGATCGGATGGTACGTAAGTTTGTCGGCGCGATTTGATTTATACATCACGACTACAACTCGGATCCTTACAACTCGGAATCAATAAATTGTGTGATGGTTAATCTAAATCTAGTTTCTAGTGTCTTTCTAAGCTTTCTAAAATTTCCTTAGGAAGCGATGGAAATGATATATATATATATATATATATATATATATATATATATATATATATATATAAAGCTAACATCTCTAAGTTTCGATCTTTTTCAACCTAGCCATTTATCTTGTTTTGTTTGTTTTTTGACATATTTTTGTCTTTAAAGGTCTTTTGTTCAGTTAATTTCGACCACATGAACTTTTATAGATATCGAGTTCCATTAATATTTAAATATTTTAACTGAAAAAAGTGTCAAAAGCAGTGCGAGTTTTGTAATTACCAGCTATTAAGTAAATATTTATCGTTTACGCGATAAAATTATGCGCGACTCTGGATATCTTTGAATTGAAGTTAAAAACAAATGTTGAATTTTATATTCTTCATTTGAATGATCATTTGTTTAATTCCAAATATCGTTTAACATAAACTAGAATAATTATGAACAACAATGCAAATAATATAAATAATGATGTGGAAAGATTGCACGATCGTGCCATTCAACGACCTCTTCTCGAGCAAAATTTAGAATCATCCTCATCATTCCATATAAAGTATCAAAAAGAGATTTACAAAAGACAATTCAGAGAAATTTACGTGCGAAAAGAACAGATTCTATCACAATGGCAAATGCAAAGATCAGCGATACAACAATTCGAGCTATCATCTACTTATTGTCTATGTCCTATGTCATTCGTGTCAACGTGGTGGAAATCGCGTGTGAAATCGCGGCGTTATCCAAGTAATTTGCTTTGCGAATTGGTAAGATTATTATTTTCAACTCTATGAAATGGATCTTTTATTACTTGGCAAAACAAGATAAAGTTTTCAAATGTTTTCTTTAAGTACAATTCACACATTCGAAATATTATTGTTCGCTAAGTGCGAGGAATGCGATTAACGTGCTTCGGAATATAATAGCAGTTTCATTTCGTGATCTTTGTAGTCGACCTTGGCACTTCGCCAAGCTATCGCAGACAGGCGTAGCGTGCGTGCAACACATCCAGATTGGCTGACATTTCCAGAAAAACACGTGGGATGATCGTGAAAAGAACACGAGTATCGAATGAGAAATTTTGAGAAATGCAAAGACTCGCACGTTTTTTTTACTTTTCTTCGTGATTATTTCTCATTGTTACATGAGTTAATTTTCGAAAAGTGTAGAGATTTGCTACGAATATTTAAAAAATTCTGTTTACGACTTGGTCACATTATCACATTAGTCACACGTGTTCGAGGTTGTATCCCGTGCGTTAAAAAATAGATTACGGCCTCATGTAAGACACGTACGAGAAAGAGAACGGAATAGTAAAATGATAATGCGAAAATAACAATATGATAATGAGAACGAGATTTATCAGCAATTTGAGATTATGTATTCTCAGTGAACAATTTAATAATACATGAATAAAAGAAAGTTTAATCTTTGTGATTACGACGCTTATAGAGCATTTTTCCACAGTTGTCTCGAGAAAGAACGGAATATATTAATTAAACGATTCATTGTATAATCACAACGACATGTATTAATTATATAGTCATGATAACGCGACGTGTATTTATTATATGTTTCTGACAATGTGTGGATATACGCGAGTCAATTATTATAATTAATCATATAATTCTATTTTCCAATTTTTTCAGATCTCTTAATTTTAATCTTAAAGAATCATTTTTCAAATCACTTCCATGCTCATATTTTGTAGCTTAAAAAAAAGTGTAGCTTGAAGATCGTGTGAACAAATTTTGTGGACACGGTAAATGATGCAATTATCATTCTTAGCAAAAATATTAATAATTAATTATACAGCGCGGAAAGGTGTTTTCGAAGATGAATGGATAGACACAGATAGATAGTGTTTGCATATCGAGTGGGGAAAAAAGAGGTCACCGTCGATAGCGATATGCGAATAAGTTATGCGCAAAGTTATGATCGCGTCGATCATCAGTGTTGGCGATACCAAAACTTTCACGCTGTTTATCGTCAGAAGCCCCCCTTCGTCTTCTTCCTTTACCTTTCTCTACACTTTCCGAACACACGTGTACGTGAGCGTCGTATGTTGCGTCGTAAGTGACATTTGCAATGCAAAATTCGTCGGTACAAAGAGATTATTAATCATACACACGCGCAGTAATAATAGAATCTCGGAAAATACGCGCATTCAGCATAGATTTTAATTATATTTTTCTCATGTCTTCAGTAAGAATGATTCTATAAAGAATTTCTTCAACTTTATGTTGAAAGTAAGGAAAAAAGGATTCTTAGAAGTTCTGAATAAACCAAGAGAAAGGTGATAGTTCCCGGAGGGAAGTATGATGATTATTAAGTATTCGGGGATGAATAAGCGATTGTATTGTGTAAACGAGCAAAGAGAGTACAATGATATGTGGTGAATAATCAGATAAAGTAGTTGCCAACAGAGAAGTCTTAGAAGAATCGAATCCTGAAAGAAGCCCGATATTTTTCCTCTGTTCGTGGGAAATATTTACAAATACAATCTTTTATTCTGAATTAGTAATCTAAATATCTTAAATAATTTTATTTTAGTATTCTATTAATTAATTCACGAGTGCAAATTAATTACATAAAACAATTTTTATACAACCCTGAATTTAATACGGGCATCAAAATATAGGGCAGCTATTTTTAGTCTAGCAGATTTCAAAATAATATCTCATAAAATGTCAAGTGTCTAAATAGATAGAGATTTTATGTGTCTCGGAGAAATCAAAATATCTCAATGCTTCAAATTTCTCGTTGCCAATCTTTTTTCATCGCGGATTTTTCCGAGCACTTGTCATCTGCGCAAAGTAATTGACGCTCGGAAAGAGCAACGGGAAGAACCTTGTACCACGCAACGTGGGACGAACTATGAACTATGCAACGTAATGTATTCGCAATTGCTTTCCTCTAGGAACATTCTCTAGCCGCGCACGGAATTTCGACACGTTCCCTCGCTTCAGCGTTCGTGAATTCGCTCGTCGATGTACCCACGCCTTCTAATCCCGTGCAAAGTTAATTACCGCATCGTCCATAGATGTATATATCCGTGTATAGAAGATGCGCATAAAAATTACTCCGGTCTTCCTCCCTAGACGCGCACATGAATATCGCGCTCGTTTCTCTCTCTTTCTCCTTTTTATTAGCCGCGCACGCATGTGCGTGCAGTGCGTGTATCATCCACGTCTACGCGGTGCAGTCCGGCAGTACAGTTATCCGTAATATACGCGAAAGCAAGTCGCGCTGTTCTCGTGTAAAGGGGGTCACACACGCCATCCGCGTACATATGTACGCGATATATGTAGAACCATATGTGCCACGACTTAATACGTATGTATATGTACTCGCGACGTATGCGCACGATGGCGTAATACCAATGCGGCGAGCACACACATCTGTACGACGTTACGGTGTTAGGCGGATTAGCTCGAGTTACGGATGCACGAGTGCATAGACACACGCATACACACGTAATGCGTAGCCTCTAATCTCGTTTGATCGCGCGTTACACCGTCGTAGAGGGGTGGGCTCTCCTCTGGTGCACGGCACGACGAGGTCGGACGTAAATTGGGCGATCCGTTAGATATATCCGTTCGTGGGACGCTTCCTTGGTCGGCGACACCGTCGCGATGCAACGCATTCAGCAAGGTCGCGTATCGCACGGATGTTGTTACCTATATCTACTTTTGACTGTTATTCGCAAATGCATCAAAATGATGCAAGATGGATTCCCTCGGAAACTCGGACGGGATGACAGAGTGAGCGAAAAAGGGAGAAAGAAGTTCGATCTACCTGAATTCATTCTTAGTCTACTGTGAAGAGTCTATTATGCCTCATGATAAATTCTTTCCGAGCAATTAAACGAAAACGCGCAAGCGTGTATGAGATGGTATAATAGCGCGGATAGAAATGATAATGATCATGTGAATTTTCTCTATGTGAAAAGAGTAGTTTTACATTTGAAACTCAAAAGATAGATACAGATAAAGAGATGTTCATTTTTAATGACACTAATGAGAAAAAGAAGCAAGAATGAGTGAAAAAAATGAGAGAGAAAGGATAAGAAAAATAAAAAGGATTAATTAAAAAGATGGATAAGATAATGAATATCCTTGCATCGTAGATTCGATCATTGCGTTAATTTTCAATCACGTCTT